GGAATTTTACTGTTACGCAAAAGTTGCTTCCCTGGCATATTCTCAAGCCCATTAGCGGCACGTGTTGTAGAATCGCTAGCGAGAAAAATGCTCCGGAAGCTGGGAGAGTTACGCCACAATCGGAAGATCCCGCCCACCCCTATAAATCTTCAAGACGTAGGGTCCTTCCACGGCTCTGCATCACCTCGTCGGCAAACGTCCAAATTCAAAATTAGGGGTTGCTATAGCCCGTCTTTGACATTTCCGTACCCCGCAAGTTGCATTTTTGGGACCAGCGGGAAGGATAAGCCCAAATAAGAGAAAAAAAATTTCGTTAAATTCTGCCCGGACACTGCCTTCAACATGTCTTCAAAAACCTAGAAATCGGTCCATTCTTGGTACGAATATTGAGCTCATAACTTCAGTTTGCTAGGAAATTGGGAACCAGGCATTCTACCTTTAGGGAAACCATGGCCCTTTAGATAGGCCCACTTGGCCAAAATAAGCCATCAAATTATCTGTCGTAAAGTGCACTCACAGCAAATCGCGCGTACAGCCGTCAAATATGCAAAAACTTTAGAATAGGATTATGTTCCAAAGAATGTCACATTCTGTGTATGGGTCGTTTTCAAACGTCTTATGCCCAGAGTCAAGCGTGGGGTGCGGCACGCCACACCTGGGGGGTCGTACTGAGGAGTCAAAAAGGGAGGGGGTCGTAGTTGGGTAATCTGATAATAGTGATAACATCATATTTGTATCATATCCATAATTAGCATGTCAATCAATCCCTGTAGACAAAGTGTGAGCGAATTCTGAAGATTCAAGATACTAGGCTACTTAAATGAAATGATCAAATTCCAATATGGTTAACTTTGTGTCAAAGGTGAAATAGCTAGCTATTTTTGCACTCAAGACAAAGCACTATTCCTTCCTTGTCCACTTTAAAAATATCGCTTCAAAAAACCTCCTTATTGTGGAATTAAACCAATCAAAATCTCGTTTTTCCCACTTTTCGCCGATCGTGTGCCACACCCCTTGCTTGATTCTGCTTATGCCTGATCTCTTGCTTAGCTCTTGTCATTTTTGTCCATTTCCACCTATTTCGTAACGGCAATTTCTTGTCAATTTACGGCATAACGTTTCTTCGTTAATCGTATTTGAAGGTACTAAACCGTCTCACTCGCGTATCAGTTGATTACTTATGTAGGGAAAGATCCACTTCATTATGCATTTGCGTGTAGATTCATCATCTGTGTTGTCATTCCATAAGTGAATTGTCCCTTCCACAGTTGCTGCTACCCTCGGCCTGAGCCTCTGACTGCAGCACGTATGGTTAATACGTTGGCAACATGCGACAACTTGGCAGGATGTTTTGGCTAACAGCCCCAGAATCAATATGTTACTGCATGTTGTCAGCCACGGATGCCGTGAGTGAGAGTCGCAAACAGGGGTAGTAGCAACTGTAGGAAGGACGATATGTATCGTCTGCGAACCAGAGAAGTTCCCATAGGTACCACGTCATCTCGCTGCCTTTCGCAATTTGAACGTGTTAATTTCGGGCACTTCCGTTGAAATCTCAGAAGAAACGTGTCAAAAAGAGCGAAAGGCAGCGTCGCACCACGTATGCACGCTGGTTCACATGGGAACCTCTCTGGGGCGCAGACGGTAGGTATCGTCCCCTCCACAGCTCGTGCTACCCTTGTGGCGTCGCGGACGTGCCACGTGTGACTAACACATTGGCAACGCTGGCAGCAACACGTTGGCAACATGCAGCAACATGCTGGCGTGGCCAAAATGTTCTGCCAACATATTGGGGCATGTTGCAAACATGTTGTTGCCACGTTGCCAACATGTTAATGGCACACTTGGCAACTAAGACGCAGACCAAGGGTAGCACGAGCTGTGGTGGGAACTATACCTATCATTCATTCTATGACTAAGAGATTTGATCAATAACTTCATGAATGAGTTCAAACGCATTTCGGTCAATTATTATATCGTCTGCGTCCCAGAGAGGTTCCCATAGGTACCACGTCATCTCGCTGCCTTTCGCACTTTTGAACGTGTTAACCTAGGGCACTTCCGTTAAAAACTCAGGAGAAACGTGTCAAAAAGAGCGAAAGGCAGCGTCGCACCACGTACGCACGCTGGTTCACATGGGAAACTCTCTGGGGCGCAGACGGTACTATTAAAATTCGTGAAAGAACGTGTTCAAGCCAGCGTTGTTCAACGAGCTCAAACATGTTCTTCCACGACTTCTAAAAGTAAATCGACCAAAATGCGTTAAAGCTCATTCATGCACTTGTTGATGAAATGAACGCAAAGCGTGCTCGCGTCTCCTAGTCAGAGAATGAATGATATTTAAGCCGACAAATGAAATGAACCTCCCCCCCCCCCCTCCCCTCTCCCCCCGTTTACTGTTGCGGAAATGCAATCAGAGGTTTTGCTGTATAATATCGGGTACAAAAAAAACTAGATAGATACCCACATGCTCGCTGCTCGTTTCCGGTTTGCCGCATGCGGCAAATCGGAAACGGCAGGCACCCTTCCTAGGCGCACCCCTCCTCACAGGTGCGATAGTGTGAGAATTTTCTCACCCCCTCTTCACCCCTGAGCCGGGACCAAGGTGACCCCCTTCACCAAAAGCCGAGAAAAAATCAACAGTGAGGTAAGGTCAAGCAAAGGAGATATTTGTACGTGGATTGTTCATGTATAGGAAAGGAGGAGTCTGTTGAAAAAAGTGCTTGGTGACGGGTGTGAGTAGTGAATTCTGGAGATTTTCGAGTTTTTGACATAAAAAAAATTCGTAACTTTTTTAGATGAATATCTTTCACGGCGACATGGTCACCCTTAGAACCGCCTCCCTCTCCGCTTTCAGAAAATGTATACTTTGCCTGGGGTCCGTTAGAAAAAGTGCCGGGTGAAGGGTGGGTGAGACTTTTATAATGGGAGTGCTCAAGTACGGGAGGCGTGCAAGTGGTACCCGACTGCTGCCTCAGCCAGCCGCCAGAGCTCCCGGCAAGCCGCTGCAAATATTACAATAATTACGCTCGTCGTCTAAAACTCTTGTCGAGAGGTTTTTTCGCACCTCGTCGCTCTGAGGTGCGAAATCAGCCTTAGGAAAGCGTGATATCCTCGAAATCTATATCATTTTGAACAGCAGAGAAAAGCTATATTTCATTGAGAACTGTATGAGTCGAATACAAAACTACACCGCAAATTTTCCAAAAAATACAAACAATTACAAAAATGAATGAATAGGAAATCATACAGCTTTCTGTCACAAATTTTGAAATCAAGGTACAATAAATAAATATCCAAATATCCATTGACGCTGTAGTTTCAAGGATCCTTGTTTTCCGATGAAGAATTCTTAGACATCAAATTCACTTTTCTATGAACACATCAGAATCCAAAATTCGGTCTTGATGAAGGATTATCAGAGGTCATTCTTTCAATTTTAAGCTTTTATTATTTGCAAAGAGTTGTGAATTTCGAATTTTTTCATCATTATCTTAGTTTCTCAAAATACCTAGAGAAGTCAACTGTGTAGATATTAAAATAGTACATGCTTCTTGGTGGTGTTCCCTTTTATATCAGCAGATGTGGCATATTTTCATCTTTTATCATTGACCTATTCAATTTGATTGAGCTACAGTCGAGTAGATTTAGCGGTAAATATAGTGTGCTTGCACAGAAGGTGAAATGCGGTAAAATTGGCGCGTGAAGAAATAGTTTCGACTGTGACGCCGGCCAATTGCGCGCGCAAGATACCCGCGGTACTGAAGTGGCTACTTGTTCACGCGCAAATTTCACCGCATTTCACCTTCTGTGCAAGCAGACTATATTCACCGCTAAATCTACTTGACTGTACTTTGCCTTATTTAGCTCGCTTAACATCACCATGTTTAAAATGATCATTTTGGCAGAGTTTTATTTACCGCTATGTCCATGACATTTCCCTGTAGTTGTTCTCGTCCGTTCTTCGACGTAAAAGCAAAAAGAAAAAATTTCTATAAATTTAAAAATTCCTATATTTTTCTGCTTCTGCTTCCAACGAGTTTTTGAAGTGCTTTGGTTTTGTGATAATCTTCCCTTAGAGAAACCCTCCTCTGTCTACCTTTGTTTATTTGCATGTTTCTCAAAAAACATGAATTTTCTGCTTTTCAAAATGTTACAGATATCGAGGATAACACGCTTTCCTGAGGCTAATATAGCACCTCAGAACAACGAAGTGCGAGAAAACCTCTTGGCAAGGGTTTTACACGACGAGCGTAATTACTGTACCATCTGCAGCGGCTTTGCCGGCAGCTCTGGCAGCAGTTGGCTGCCTGGGTACCTTGCTACGCACCCCTATAAATTCTATAATTCTGAAAAGTGCTCCGGGCTCAGACAAAGGTTAAAGGCGTTGTTCAGGTCAAATGGAGGTGGAGGGATTTTGGCGTAGTGCGGGAGCACGGCCCATGACTAATGCAACAGTTCATCCGATTGAAAAAAGGTGGATTTTCAAGAGAGAAAATCGCTTCGGAAAAAAGGGGCGATACACTAATTGCGCCTCCTTGACAGGTTTTGATGCGGTTGATACATTAGATCTACAGCATTCTCAAGTCAAAACTTGTAAAGGAGGCGGGATTAGCGTACCGCCCTTTTTCCCCTTTTTTCTGGAAGCGATTTTTTCGCTTTAGAACTCAGCTTTTTTGATTGAACTTGAACTGCTGCATCAGTCAGGAGCTCTACTCCCTCACCTCGTCAAAATCCTACTACCCCAGTTGATCGACAATGCCTTTAAGAAAATGAGATCGTCAATGCTGCTTATGCGACGCATGCATGCATGTATCGCCGCCATTGCCACTATTTTATGATTGCCCTATACGTTCTATATGCACATGTAAAATATGTGCACTAAAGATGAATGCTGATGATGATGTGCACTAGTTTATAGCTAACGGCATAAAAATATCGTTAGCTATGAACTAGTATACAGTTTATAAGGAAGCACAACTATCATGCACCGAATTAGCATGCAACAGCTTTTGTGCATAGCACTACTGCTGGTAGATTTTTTGAATTTTCTATTTTTGGTGAAGTTTACAATATGTTTCTCACTTTAAGGCTGCTGCGTTCCCATCTTTGGAACTGCAATGTATTTTCTCCGATCAGACCCCAGGCCTGCCTGAAAATATACAAAATGAAGTGCTCAAGCTCATCAATAACCGTCGAGAAAAATTAGCCAAGGGAGAGCAGATAAACGGTGCTTCAAGGATCTTGCTGCCGGCAGCAAAGCAGATTAGTTTTGTGGTCAGTTTCACAGATGCACATTTGGATTATGCACCGCAAATTTGACTTCAGTCGAAAGTATTTATGAATCTTTGCAAAGAAATGGGAGGGGGGGGGAGGGGAGCCAACATGAATGATAGATTGTGCAGCCGTATGCGTTGCGGTTAAATCTTTCCCAGTTTCTGTATTCACGCTATGATGTTTCCGAAAAAAAAAAACCGGGAGCATAATGGGGCCTAATCCATAGACTTCAACACCATTTTTGATCCAGCAAAGGACGAACACGGCATATTGACAACCCTAAGACTACAGTAAGCTTATTTGCAGCTATCGTTCATTTTGGCACACATTCTCTGTGCATGTGTAGTACATATTTATAGGGATAAATCTATTTTTCCTATATACGGTTCAAGCCGCGTTTGTTTGGTGACTCATAAGGTAAGGTGGGGTTAGGCGCCCAACAGCTGATTACATGAAGGATGGAATGGTGAGGGTTTTAATCAAAAACAGAAATCTTTAAAGAAGAAAAAGCATTAGGCCGGCAGTTGTATCACCAATAAACCCCACAGCAGCCATTGCAGAGGTGTTAGCAACATGCCAAAATTCATCTGTATGGAGCTTTATCAAGTTTCGAAAGCTTAAACCGTTCCCGTACACCTACCCTAAGCTCACTGACAATCAACATGTCATTGTAAACGTGTTGAAAACTGTTATGAAGTTATGAATTATGGAAACTGCTATACGCTAAATGCTAGAACGCTATAAACTGCTATAACTGCAAAGCTGCTAAATTGCTCATCTGCCACAATTTCTAATCCTATCGTTTCAAAGCGTCAGTTTCAACCAAGGCTCGTACTTGAAGATGAAAATGATCAAACTGTTTCCCGCAAGAAAGTAGTGTTCTCTTTTGACTTGCGCTACAAACTACGTTTTACATCCCTTCCAGTAATTATATTCAGAATTATACCAAAATTCCAACAATCACTTTCCACATCTTGTGTGCTTTCACTACATGAACTGCTACAAAGAAGCAAGGTCGAATAACCTCCAACTTGTTGAATCTGTGTTGCTCTATGCTGATGTAATATGAAACAAGCTTATTCTCAAATATTATTGGGGTAAGACACAACCCTTCAATCAAACTACGTTACCTGAGCTTTTCCAGCTTTAGCTTGACCCTCAAGGCATATCGGCTGAAAATTCGTCACCGGTTCTTATACTGTACAATTACCCTAGTTTCACGAATACAAGACGCAGCTTTTCAAGCGAGCCGCTCAAACGCCTCATTGTGTTTCGGAACACGAAAGTTATGCCGTACGATACCCTGAGGCAATACGTAGCACTGTGTAAGGTCCTTTGGTCACGAAATGTTTTAATGTGTTCAGACTGGTCGAATGCAGAAAAAAACCAAGTCCCTGAACTCGTGAAATTAGGGTATGTGCAGTCGCTGAAAATTGGATATGGACCTCAAAAAGTAAGAAATTCTAAATGGAATTTGCAGCTACTCCATGACGGGGAGGAAAGAGTAGGGTTCAGGTTGACGTTCAAAGAAGAGAGGTGGTTTATAAAGGCTATATGTCGTAAGGCGCGGATCGTTTGCTAGGCTGGCATCCAACTAAAAGCAAGGTTTCGGCGTTAAATACTTTGCAGTTTTATGAGCAATGGGTTCCCAGATTTTATTTTTGAAGAATGGGGCAAGGAGAAGAGACGACACCCTAAAAAAAATCAAACTCGTTCAACATTTCAAAAGGTGGTCAAAATGATTCAATTGTCAAATAATGAAAATTGGTAATAAAACTTTGGACTTTCAACCCAATGTGTAACCAACTTTGTGCAAATGTTCGAAAGCCATTTGTAGAGCTTGCTCGGCTCTGTTATCCTAGAGCTCTTTGAGGAGTGAAAAAATGTGGAATTTATTGGGATGACATGTGAAAACGGATGGAACTTCTAAAACAACCCAAGAATTTCCTTCGTTTAGCCAAAATCTCAAGTCGTTGATATATAATAAGTATAGAATTTTGGAGAAGAGATTACGCTCCACATACTCTCTCAGTTTGAAATTGATATCACTCTTTGTGTTGCCGTTACGGTCCAAAATCTGGCTCAAACGCTACGCGCATCATCGATGATTCTGCACACTATTACCACTTGTTTGATCGGACAGGAGGAGACTGTTCCAAGCCAAACTCATCTTAGTCCAATCTCCGAAACCTCGCCTACTTGTAGGAATTGGATTCTTTTCACGCCTTCTTGTAGGAATCAAAAAGGGAGTTTTCTTTGATGTTCTGAAAAGCAAATTGAGGAACACCGTTTCTCGCGTCCTCTATATAACGCATGCACAGGGTGTCGCAAAATATATCCCTATCGTATAATCGTTAATAACTCTCTTGCCTGATTGTTTTTTGGCACTTGCGTAAAGGTACGTCCTCTGGATCTGGCTTAAACTTAGATTCACAGTTTGGAAAGGGTTACTAATCGCTTATTGTTAATGTAGGACTACTTTACTACCTTATAGCGTATGGTTCTATTATGAGACGGGCCTCCTGAAAAGAGTTTCCGAAAAGTTTGGAAAATTGTGCAGTGAGAAAGTTACTTGCTTCGAACTGTCAAAGTTCTATTTACTATTTTTCATCAATGAATCGCTGAAATTCTAATGCCTAAATTACACTTTGTAAAAGCTTTACACTTCTCACATAGAAAGTCCAAAAAAGTAGTAGAGAATGGTCAACGCTACTATAAGCTCTTTGTGTTCGTTTTATTGGGATTACCATTATACATAAACAATTTTGGTGAAAACTTACAAGGTGTGGAGTGCTCTGTGGTATGAAGGAGCATAAACTATGCTGGTTGAAAAACGTCTCAGAAAACACGCATACGGGGAGGGGGGGGGTTGCGGCCCAGCGCACACATTCAAACAGCCTTTCGGTCTAAAAAATAAAAAAACACTTATGATTTATAAGTTGGCCTTTGTTAAAAAAAACAATTTTTTGAAATTACTGGATTGAAATATTCATCTTCAACAATGAGATGTTTATCCTTATTTATCTTCGATAAAGTTTTAGAAGTGGAGCTGTCAACTGGAGGAAGAAGCAGCAGCTGCAATCAAAGCTTGTCCGAGAAGTGAGCCTACAGTACCATTTGGGAAGACAGCATTCTTTAACTTGTAAGTTTTTAAGACACAACTTCTTGGTTGTGCGTCATATCCTGGAACTTCGGAGACATGGAGTTCGTGTCGTGAAATTTCAATGCAAAATTCAAAATATTCAGCTACCTAAAAATCAGATTTCCTTTCAAAAATGTCCTGTAGCTTCAAACTTGGTCAGGCATATACTATCTACATCAAACATTCATGTATACAAATTATTTTCTCGCATAGCAAGTGAGAAAATGAAACTTGGCATGCTTCAGCAAATGCAATGCTGAGCCCTTCTGCCATAGGTAATTCTTCAATAAGATCTTAAGATTCTTCAATACAACGAATCTTTAGAAGTACAACCACAATTATCGGTTTTTTGCAAGGGCTAATTTCCGAGAATTATTGAATTTAGGTCAGGTATAAGTGTTAGCTATTTTCATACCTAATGTGTAGCGGGTTTACATAAGTCTTACTTTAATATTTATTATATATGGTTATATACAAAAGGGGAAGAGGGCACCGACTAGTGCCGGCGGCCGGAGGTCACTGCTAGAGTTGGCTGTCTTCGGCCAACCTCCTTCTCGAGCAGCTGTTGTTGCAGCTAGCTTCGTCCCGACATTAGCATTCCGAAATAAAGGCGATATTGCATTGCATACTAAATTCTCGCTCTCATTCATTGTAAAAATGCAGTACGTGTATATGAATGTTTGATATGGGGAATATACGTGACAAAGTTGAAAGTCCTCAGGATCTTTCTGTCGGAGATCTGATTTTTAGGTATTTATTTTTTTGGATTTTTCTTCAAAACTTCACGTGGACCAAACTTTTTGCGATCATTCTAATGCAGTCCTGTAGAGGTGCTTTGCTCCATCGAATGATACTCTTCTGCCGCGATCGCGTAAGGAACCTGCATCAATTTCTGGACAACAGAATAACTATAACAAGGACACCGATTGCTTGTGCTTCACACCAAAAGTTTTTAACTTTTTGTTGTACGGCAATCACATGTTCGCAATTAAGATGACAACTGCGAAAGTTGATTGCATGCTTTCAGCGGCTTACGACATACGGTCTAGTTTTTTCGTAAGTATTGCTGCAGTCTTTGCCTTCCCCATCCTGGACTTTGGCCGCAAAAACCTTTGGTTCGTAGGCTTGTGGTGTCCATGACTGAACGGCAAGGATAACATTCTGTGTATTAACACATACAATTTGAAGTTTTTGCTTGCGGAACAATGTCAAATCTGAGGCAACAGTGCGTAGAGACTGATCAGTGGAGGCGGTCCTCACTTATCTTGTCTAATGTAGCAAAAGAGTAAATAGGTGGTAGCGATTGGTAAAAATTACGTTCAGCTACTACATTGCATACAAGGAGAAGGAGTTAATACCCTGGATGCAGAGTACCTGGTTGTACCCTATCGATGTATCCGAATTTCATTCTTCAGCTTTTGATAACGAAGTTGTAAGATATGTGGCTTCTTATGAGCTGCGAGCATACGCAAACGTGAGTACCTTATTGAACAAATTAATTTGTAGCCTTATCTACGAATATTGCAGCTTGTACGCGAAGACACAACTGAAATTGGTTGTTTTGAAACAAAATGTCTTGATGCTAAGGGATACGGACCAATCACGATATACTGCCTAACTAATCGACCGTGGGTTTTTACAGCATCTTTCCTCAACTAGCTTGGTTTAGTGCAGGATTTTGTGCAAGAATAATGGCTTAGTGCAAGATACGCCTGTTCTGATGTTACTCATAACTCTTCTTAGAATTTAAAAAAACACATAACATTTGAAAAACCTTTCCTTGCTTTTTGTACATGATTTCAAATTTAAAGTATTTTGCCCATTGAAACCACACAACTCTAAATTCGTAGCACTGAAGAATGGTGATCTGAGCTCGGTTCAGTATCGATATTTGGGCTTTTACCTCTGTTTTCGTAACTCACATCGAAACGACTCTATGTAAGTGCAATACTTGTATACTTTCTTTTCAATGATAATAGAACTAGCCAGCTTTCCCGGTTCCGCCCGGCCCAGTCAAAAGACTATGATTAAGGTCCCATACCTATCCCTGTACAACCTTTCCCCGTGCCCACTTTTAGGTAGCAATTCCCTATGCCCGTTTCGTTTTCGTAGTCAGCATGCTCACTTATCCTCCTGTGCCACCTCCCAGCCCCGTAGCTCAAACCTTGCAAAAAACGATAAAATCGATATTGATCGCTGGTGATGAAAAGGCACGGCTCGGCACGAGCTGGCACCAGGGAATTTTCAAAACGAAGTCCCCCTTGAAATTTGCTAATTTTTACGAAGTCCCCTTTGATATCCTAAAAATCCCCCCAAAAACGAAACGTCGACTAAAAAAAAACGTCGCCGTCGCCAATTTTGCATATATCTTCGCCCACAAAAACGAAACCCCCTTTGCTTTTTGCCCCAAAAACGATATCCAGCTTGCCCCGTGCCAGCTGGTGCCACGCCCTGCCTATGATATCCGCACGGTCTCGAAGTGTATGTGTGCCAAGTTTGGTCCGGATCTTCAGAAATGGAATTTTCTATTTGGAACATACGTACAGACAGACAGACAGACAAACTTACAGACATACAGACAAACAGACATTCAGCTTTATATATAACTAGTTGGCTTTCCCGGTCCAGACCGGGCCATTGTTCTCCTGCACTGCGAGCTTACCCCACCCCCTTTTATATGTTATGGATAACTTACCCTGGGACATCCGCTTCGAAGCCGCATCCTTGTGATCCTGAGGTGAAAATGAGCTTCACCGCCCTCCTTTACATGACTATGGCAAAATGCTTGATTAAACATGATAAGCCTTCGATTCCTTAGAAAAACGTAAACAAATCAATAAATCGATAGAAGGACCCAGTGAATCGCCGCAAAAAGTAGCCTAAAACCGTCTCCGTGGTCGAAAACATCTATGTGCAAACTTTCAGCCCAATCGGTTGAACGGCGCGCGTTTCTATAACTCACATACCCTCCAAATAGACAATTTTTGAGTTATATATATAGAGAGATTATAGGTACAATTTAGGGAGTTGGCGGTTTCTGATGTGATTTACCATCTTCCTATACCGGATACAACAATCACTACTAAAAGTACAACAAAGACCACTACACTTGTAGTAACAACTACTACAGCAATGCCAGTAACGACCACGACCAAGTCATCAATTACTACAATTGAAGCTACAACAACCGCTGCACCCACAGTATCAACTACAACATCGATGCCAGAAACGACCGAAACCAAAAATTTGACTACTACAACTACGACAGTGACCACTACATTGCCGGAAACCACGACCGAGCCATCGATTACTACAACTGAAGCTACGACAACCGCTGTACCCACAGTATCAACTACAACATCGAAGCCAGAAACGACCGAAGCCAAGAACTTAATTACTACAACTACGGCTGCAGTGACCACTACATTGCCGGAGACCACGACCAAGCCATCAATTACTACAACTGAAGCTACGACGACCACTGCACCCACAGTATCAACTACAACATCGATGCCAGAAACGACCGAAGCCAAGAATTTGACTACTACAACTGCGGCTGCAGTGACCACTACATTGCCGGAAACCACGACCGAGCCATCAATTACTACAACTGAAGCTACGACGACCACTGCACCCACAGTATCAACTACAACATCGATGCCAGAAACGACCGAAGCCAAGAATTTGACTACTACAACTACGGCTGCAGTGACCACTACATTGCCGGAAACCACGACCGAGCCATCAATTACTACAACTGAAGCTACGACGACCACTGTACCCACAGTATCAACTACAACATCGATGCCAGAAACGACCGAAGCCAAGAATTTGATTACTACAACTACGGCTGCAGTGACCACTACATTGTCGGAAACCACGACCGAGCCATCAATTACTACAACTGAAGCTACGACGACCACTGTACCCACAGTATCAACTACAACATCGATGCCAGAAACGACCGAAGCCAAGAATTTGATTACTACAACTACGGCTGCAGTGACCACTACATTGCCGGAAACCACGACCGAGCCATCAATTACTACAACTGAAGCTACGACGACCACTGCACCCACAGTATCAACTACAACATCGATGCCAGAAACGACCGAAGCCAAGAATTTAACTACTACAACTACGGCTGCAGTGACCACTACATCTGTGATAACATCAACCGCAACCTTCCCGGAGACCACGACCAAGTCATCGGTTACTACAACTGAAACTACGACAATTGCTGCACCCACAGTAACAACTACCACAACGACGCCAGTTACGGCGACAACTGAGAAAGAAACTCTCATGTTTGCGATAAAACCAAGCACAACAAAATCATCGCCGTTGTCTACACCAACAAAACGAACGAGTACACCAGTGAGAAAAACAACTGGGACAAGAACTAGAATATACAGGACCAGTTCACGTGTTCCAAGTACGAGAAGGACAAAGAAATACGGAACGACTTTACGTACTCCGAAAACGACAAGAACTAGAAAATACAGAACAACTTTACCCACTTTAAGCACGATAAGTACTAGAAGATACAGAACCACTTCAAGTACGGGACGCAAGGTCACTGTACCATCAGAGTTCCCTGAGTTTCCTCTCACAGGTAAGTTTTTCATGCAAGAACAATTAGAAAGTACAAAAGTACATTCTATTGGAGAATAATTCCAAAAATCTCAACGAGGAAAAGAGAGTTTTTGGCTATTTTAGGACCCAGAGGCCGCCCGGCAAAATATCGAACTATATTGGCATTAATCTGGACTAATCGTCCCGCTAATTCCAAAATATGTCTAAAACGATTTCTATAAAAGCCCTCGATTTTTCATACTATCCATCAAGGTTGAAGGCTAGAGTTGTTGTAACACCCTGGTCATAACATGCGCTTATGAGAAGAGTTTGCTTCGTTTCATAATCAGTGTGGCATCGTGAGAAGCAAGGCTCTAAAGGCAGTGGATCGGCAGAATGAGACCCGTGGCAAAACAAGCTCACAGGGTAGGAGCCCCCATAGTGGAACCTATGGGCCAAAGTTCGATCTTTCTCTGCCACTTCTAACCCCCGAAATTACAAAGCGAAAGCAGCGCTCATCTCCTCTCCTCTTCGACCCCGCCCATCCCATGGACGACTGCCCGCGAAGTCCGCCATGGCGAAGACGCAGAGTTGTTGCGGGACCCTCATGCTTGTAGCATTGCGGCTGGCGCTCTGACCGTGGAAGTCGCTCGTCCATGGGGTGGGCGGGATCGGAGAGGAGAGGAGATGAGCGAGCTTTCGCGTTGAAATTTCGGGGGTTAGAAGTGGCAGAGAAAGATTGAACTATGGCCCATAGGTCCCATTATGGGGCTCCTACCCTGTGACTTTGTTTTGCCACGGGTCTCATTCTGCCGATCCACTGCCTTTAAACAGCTAGCACACCCAAAATGTATGTTCACGATCTTCGCCATTATAATTTTCTCACGTTTACATATAAGCCTCATTCGTGTTATTTTCGAAACATCAAAATCGCAATGTTTATAGCTACTAGTTGGGAATGAGCTATGATAGCAATGTAAACAGTCTAGATCTAGCGATCTGGCATCGAAGTATACAAGTTGTGTAACTTCTGATGGTTCAATCCCGTAACTTCCTTGCCTCAGTTTAGACTCATACAAGAGATGTCAAAGCAATATGATGAACGATGAGCTCAGATTCGCGTTTTTGGATATGCATAACTATCGCAGGTCGATTCACTTATTTTTTTGTACAGTTTGAGTACATTATAACACTTGCTTACAATCAGGGAGCAGCTGGCTGAAGGGAAGATCGCCAAGAGGAACGGCAACTACCTGCCCCAATCAGCCGACATGCAAAGAATGGTCGCAAAGCTTTATAGAGTTACCATGCATATCTTAGATATGTTACTTGTAGAGATACGATTGCCAACTGGAAGAAGACGTCATCAGTTTTGTAAGTACGTGCCCGACAGCCAAATCAGCTGAGTATTCGAGGCCCAATATTGGGGAGAATTTTGTTCGTTTTCCTAGGCAAGGTTTGGCGACGTTCTTGGCTGCGGCTAAAAAGGTAAGAAATTAGGCAGCTATGATTATTGAGCAACCAGTGGTTCAGGCTGTGGAGTCATGGTGGAATGTCATACTTACTGAAGAAGGTCCTGGTTTGCAACTCTACTTTAGACATGTACACGTGGGTACTCCGATTGAATCCTTCACACAGGTCGGTTAACTTTTTACTTCTCGCTTAGCAACTAATTTTTTCGATTTTTTGAATTTATGCCACTAAAAGCAAATATGGAATTAAGAAATTGAAGTGTTTCGAACTGGTTTTTCAGATGGGATGGTCTACGTCTCGCAAGCTTGCTTGCGCTGTCGCACTATGCAGATCTGATTTCGTCGTAGTTTGCCGATACTCTCCCAAGTAAGACGAACGTCGCCGGCACTCTGAAAACTGTAATTTTGTATTTTATTCTAGAGGTAACAATGTGGGGCGTGTCATCTACAAAAAAGGAACGCCATGTACACAGTGTGCAGCTGGCTCTTGGTGCACGAAAGATGCGTTGTGCACCTTCGAGTGAAATTATTTTGCGAGCCCCTCTTTCTGATTTATCAAGTCTCTATTGATCAATCAACAATCGGTCAATAAACTACATCACGATATATATTTTAAATGTACTACAAGCAAGAACATTTACTATTAGATATTAACCTGAAACTGCGTTCAATTCGTAGAGGAGTAGATTAAGTTTGAGGATCTTGAATTTTCAAATTGAATAACCAACATAAGCAAGTGCAAGATGAGTTCCCGTCCACTAAGCATCACAACAAGAAAAGCAGCAAAAGAAATTTTGAGGGGTGCAAAAGATTTTTAATGAAGGCTGGTATCGGAGATGTACAATATGCTTCTTAATAATTTTGCGGGCATTTAGCCTCAGAGTTTGAAAAGAAGGGGGTGGTGGCAACAGCTCTCGCTCCACCAAATTTTGATGCAAAGCTAAGTCGAGTTCTAGAATTTCGACGTGGCTATTTTGAAGTGACAAACGAGTCTCTTAGGTTCCTTCATACTACGTCGCAGCACGCCACGTCCTGCGGCGTGCGCCGCTGCAGTCGAAGTGAAAATATACGCTCACGGCAGCACAGCTTCGCCATTATGGGCGTACCAGTTCAAAGCGCCGCTTCGCGGCGTTTGCGCTGGCTGTGTGTGTGAAGTATGATGTGACTAAAAGTTAAGACTTTTGAAATTTTGTAGCAAAGGAGCGAATTTTTACACGTCGAACCCAAATGTCATTAAAGTCATTACTCCCAAATTCTGATCCTTTGCGGTTTTTGAGCCAAGCTCTCCTCCTACCACTCCCCATTACCCTACACAAAAGTTAGTGCATATGAAACTGCTGAGCTACTAATTCTTCTCACATTCCCACTCTCCAGCTCTGAATCACTGTAATAAATGTCACTTTTATGTTTACAGCCGGTCCTCATCCAGCCACGCTAGCCATATCTAACATGATGCGCTCCGCAACGCCTTGTTGAGACTCACCGCGTTGAGACCTGTCTGTTCTTTCATTTTCACAATCTCCCCCGCTAGCCAAATCTAACATGATGCGCTCCGCAACGCCTTGTTGGGGCTCACCGCGTTGAGACCTGTCTGTTCTTTCATTTTCACATTCTCCCCGTGCTGCTATAAGCGCGCAAATGCAGCGACCCTTTGCGTTGGCGCCGATTTCGACCAACGTTTTGGCTAACGATTGAGACAATCGTAGTCGTCAAAATTTCTTTTTCCTCCTACATCTAGCGAGGATCCTCGGATGCTGCAAAACTTTAGACTAAAATGGCCTTCTCGCACTCGACAAAAAACTCCTGGCCATGTGCACTTCTCACTATTCCCATCTCCCCTGCTCCTCACAGTAAATGTCCCCCTAAACTGCGTTAGTTTAATACTTCCACGTCCTCTGGGCTTGCTGCTCTTATTTCTTCGCAAAACTGAATCAGAAAAAATCTAACTCAACATTCCTTGAAACACCTGGCCAACATTCGAACGTCAAAATGCGAAATTTTACAGCTGAAGCCCTCTTTCTCTTTGCAAAATTCTTTTTTGGAAGCACATCTTACTATAATATTCCCCTCTGGTTTTACAAACTGCCCAATACAAACTGCCCAACATTCTTGCAATTTCATCAAAGTGCTCCAACACCACTTCAGGCTTATCTTAACAGGCTCATGTAAAATCTATGGGGAGACCTACTATCAAACGGTGTTTGTGTTGTCATCTGAAGCTGCTATATTTTGACAAAAATGCGCTAAAAAACCAAAAACTTCATACTTCTTATACTATAACTTAGTTGATGGTTGGTGACGCCAACTTGCATTCCATTTTGTACGCCAACTTGCATTCCATTTTGTATCTTATTTATAGCTGAAATATTAGCGGATTTAGCCAGCATAGAGCTGTTTTGGGAAACTCTAAGACGATCGCAGTGACTTTTTTTTACATACTTTCGAACTTTTCGTATTGGAGAAATATCCGGAAGTTCAGAGGTAATGTTCTTTTGTTAGTACGTACGCTTCCCTAGCTAGAAGAATGTGCGCCCAATTTGAAGAAGTTTCGATTTGCGTCACTACGCTGTTACCTTTTGGAGGATAATGTCCCTCATATTTTGTTTTAGCTATGTGAAAAGTTCCGACAATTGTGAGATGTCACGGATAAAACCGTGCTCGCGCTTTATCATAGAGTATGATGCTGAATTATCCAAAAACGACAGATTCGTTGTGATTTCTTTATAAGGAATACTTATTAAGCATTTGACTAATGAAGTTTGAGAAACTTTCTTGCTGAAATTTTAACAACCGGAATCGTGATGAAAGGAAAAAAATTAGCGAGGAGTACTTTAAAACAGCTTTGGTGCGGATTATTCAAATTAGAAAGTATTTGCGCATTTGCTAAATGAAGTTTTATAATTTTTTCTAAAAGCGGTTTAATCGCAGTCAAGCACTTGATGGAAAACTTGGGGAGACAACAACTTTTTTTCGCCAGAATATCTAGCAGATTTTCTTAGACTTATGGTGCATTTCAAAAGAAGTGCTCCTAAAAAAATCATGGGTATATGATCAAGGAGTCAAAGTGCGAGAAGTTTGCAAAAAAAGATTTGACGATAAACCACTTAGGCAAGAATATGAATGCAGATCACACTCAAAAAGTCAGAGGGACAAACCAAATCTACCAAGTACGGATATGGTGCAACTTCTTTTTTATGAGAAACACAGTAAGCGCTGTGGAATTGAACAAACATACAGTGCTTCTTTCAACTAAAAGAATACTAATTATTGTATAAAAGAAACCTAAAAATTGCAGCTTTTTTGCTGAAATATTATGTATTTTTGGAACATATACGGTTCAAAAAATATCAGATTTGAGGAAACAACGCATGTGTACCATCTACATATGTGGATCCATATGTGGATTGTTTAGATTTCTAGGAACGCTACATGTGGAGGATTTCAAAGTGATAGGACGATTTCGAATGCTGTAAACTGACCTACCCCTATTCTTTCCGTAGTCGAGTTTCTTTTGGAAATAAGCGATTTGACTTTAGCGGAAATACAATACTGTTCGATGTTGCCGCTGGCAGCGTTTAGCTTGTCTAGTGATTGCACCTTTTTGGTTATGCCACTTGATCAACATCATCTAAGACAGGCATTACTTCCGTTATGAGTCATCGGTTGTGGCTGAGTCGATCGTAAGCATAAACAGTCTGGAAGCGGGCGGGAGTGCCAAAATTAAGACAGAGATCTTACAAACATCCATCGCAGGCTGTTGACGTCTGATGGGCCCCCCTGCGCTTTATTATAGAGTATGATAGCTATATATTGCTACACGTTCGTGTTCTCGAGAGTTCCTTCGAGTTATTTCATACTGCACTCGCTGCAGCGGCTGCAGTCATGTTGGGGCGGGCAAGAAGGGGGAACGGTCAGGAGTCACGGTCGGCGAGGAATTGCCGCGATTACCGCCGCACGCAACGTCGCTTCGTGCGAAAGGGGTGGAGGACTATATGTCGCCGAAAAAGGGCGGTCCCCGCGGTCATTTGCGACAAATACGCACCCTTGTACATGCGCGGACATGCGTTCCTGCAGGGAATCCGCGCGGGACTCTTCCAAATCCGGCGACATATAGTCCTCCACCCGTGCGAAAGCTGCGATGGCGGCCTATTAAAGGACGCAAAAGGGTTGTCGCTTCCGCGCGGGAATCCTGCCGATATAGCAAGCACGCCCTATAACAAAACGGCTGTTTTGTAGAAAAGTGATGTTGTTTGGGCGACAAACTGCCATCCTAGTCGCAATGGTAAATGGTTCGTCAAGCCCCTGTCTCAGAAACTGCACTCAGATAGTTGGAGCGTGCGGCGCACGAGCGTTTATGGTCAATGCGGCAAAGCGCGTGCCTTATTTGTGAGCGTGTCCGGCACTACGCCAAGCGCGTGCCATCGTAGACATTTGGTGCGTGCGGCGCGCGTATTAATGGCCAACATCGCGGCCCGCGCGCTACGTTTATGTTCGATCTCGCCACCGCGCGCCTAATTTTGTAGCACGCCGCGCGCGTGCCTTTGTACTCTACCCGTGCGGCCCGCGCGCCTGCAATTATCATATGCTGTAAGCACGAGGGATACCCGCGCAGTTTACGGCGCAGTGGTCAGGCTGCCTCATCATTCAAGAGGTTAGGTATTACATCGTAGTGTATGATTAGTCGCAGAAGTGGAAGGTGTTTTTTGCCTCCAAGCGTTAGCCTTCGGTAGCATTGCAAATTGATGCTTGATCTGAATTTTTGGAATCAAATACGAATTCATATTTTTTGGCGTATGAAGACTGGAATTCATTATCAAGACCTGTGGTATACAGCGCAATGAAAAACTGAAAGAATGCAGCCATCCGCGGGCCCGCCACCCGCGCACTGGGTGTTGCGCCACCGTATGACTGCGCGCGCGCTGCCCGCTCCAATTGTCTGAGCAGGACTACAAAAGTAGTGATTTGAGCACATGAAAAGCAAAAACAATGTGTTCTTTTTGTGCCAAAATTGGAAGTAAATAAGGTGCAGGTTTGAGTTGTCCTGAAGTTAAGTATCAGCTTCTGGAGTATTGTAAATCCAGTTAGAGTTCGATCTAAGTTACTCGTCACATATTACATCATTTTTGTTCACATTTTCTCAGAGCATAGTATTTTTTGTTGAATAGCCTACATTTTCACCTCATATTTGAAACGATCTTTGAGAGCATAAATTTTGATGCGTCCACAAGAGATGCGAGGTTCCAGCACCCTCCTGCCTTTTGCATTCTCATCCTCCTCTTGTTCCACACTTTAGATTCCACTAGTCAAAAACAGCTCTTTATGATGATATGATCAGAAACAGCTACTGTGCATGGAGTATGTCATTTTGAAAAGAAAAAACATCCTCAAAGTTGTTTCAAATGACCACGCACGCATACCATTCATTTGAGATAAAAGAGACAAAACGAAGGCCCTCATCTTATCTTTATCGTGAAGAAGCATCAGTGTGAACAAAGGTTCAATAGGCCTTTAATACCTAGATATTTAGATGGCCCGTCCTCACGTGACGTGCGGGCCCCAGTACAGAAGTTGCCATTTTTCCCTGTCCCTCGCTTCAGACATCC